ACTAAATGTTTTACTAGTATTTTAATTTAAATCCTAATGGTCTGAAAATGCAAGGAGTACTTACAGATTTAAAGGAGAGGATCTTGCATCCTGTAGATTACATCATACGACGATGAGTCACTCCCCTCTTAACCCTACCCCCAGTGCTCAGCCTCCTTACAAGCCAGGACTGCTCCACATGAAACGCGATGACCAAATGGGACTGTTCTTCCACAAAACACTGCACTAATTCTCCTGCATTCAGTCTTTCCACTTGAATGGAATAAAAACCCTTTTCAGAACAACAATTCCAGTTCCCCCCCCTCCCTTTTTTTTTTCTCAGGCACACTATGGGACTCCTCAGTGCATGCACAATGCAAATAAGGCAAACTTCCTTTGAAAGAGTGATTAATATGCAAAGACAGCCTGCTTTTTAGTGGGATGTGAAGAACCACCAACAAGCATTTCCAAATTCCGAGGTTTCTTCAATTATTTCCTCTGTTTATTTTAAACATCAGATTATGCAATAATACCACACATTAAGACCAATTTGCCAATATTATGTAAACAATACCAAACTGACTGCTCATCTTTTGTATCATATTTAAATGCAGCCTTGGATATACTAGCTAGGGAGGCATCAAAAAAAGTAGGATTTAAATTTGACTGCATCCTATGTCTCAGTCTTCTTGTTAAAAAGATCTCATTTATAAATCCAGTGTAAATAGTTGCACCTTTTTTTTGTAAAGAAATGTGCACGTATTTGTTAAAATAAAGCAAGAAAATTTTACAAAACTAATTTCTGTCCCAATATATTACAATTCCAGTAACTTTTCAAAACATTTTTTCCAGGAGCCATCTGAAAAGCCCATTCAGAGTTGAAGACACCAATTTTCTATTTCCATTGGTTAAAATTTTCATCACAATTTTTCATCACTTAGCAGCAGCTCAACTACATCACCTCTGCACAACTCAGCCTGGAATCTCCTACAGCAAGAACCCTGCACCTCAAGTGCCAATACAGCATACAAAATCAGGTCAAAAGGCAGTCTAAACACATTAAGTATCCCATTTCTTATTCTTGCCCTTCACTTCACACACTTCCCAATCATTTTGCCCAGCTTTAAACACTCCCTTCCCCCTCTTTGGAAAGGCATTTCAAGTTAGTGAGCGTTGTAAACTATTATTAAAGTAACCAATAATTAACGTTCCTGTTTACCTTAAAGATTTCAACGTTGATAGGTATCAGTAATACGAACAACAAAAAATCAAAGTAGATTAAATCTTTCAACAAGTACCTCCTGCATCCCTTTTACAGCAGTACCTGCATGAAAACCACAGAGCCGCTGGGCTGGGGGGGCTCTGGGCCAAGGCCCGAGCAGGCAGAGGCAGCCAGAGCCCCAGCAGGTTGCCCAGGACTGGGTGCAGCTGGGTGCTGGTGCTACAACAGAGGCTCCCCAACCTCTCTGGGCAGCCTGTCCCAGGGTGCAGACACCATGCTGGGTCCCGTTGGGTTTCTTGTGGGGATGCAGGATGTCATGTCGGAACAATCTCTGCTCCATGATTCCTGTCCTGCCGCTGGGCATCATTGAGAAAAGCCTGCCTTCCTTCTTCCCTCCCTCCCATCAGGTATTTACACTCATTCAGATCCACAGATTCTTCTCCTAGCCTTCTCAGCCTCTCCTTGCACAGAAAACGTTCCAGTCCCCTCACTGGACTCTCCCCAGGAAGCCCGTATCTGTTTGCTGCTGGGGAGCCCAAACTGGGCACAGCACTCCAAATGTGTCCTCACCAGTGCTAGGCTCTATAGGCAGATTTTAAGGAATCACCAGACCTTCAGACTTTTAAAAGCAATTAAAATTGAATACTGAGAACTCTCTCTCTTCATTGACAACGATCCATTTGTTCTAAAGGTCTCAAGAGTAGACTGTAAAGAGAACAAAATAATTTAGATTCAAGAAATTATGAGACTGATGACTCTGGAACACTTAAGACACTGAAGAGTTTCCTTATGCGTGTTCTGTCCTAGCAAACAATAAGATGAGAAGGTGATGGATATTTAACTCAGGATTACAGGACTATCAGGAGGTAATCAGGACTACATTCACTCATTGCAAGTAACTCTCTCCCAAGGCTTTACTACTTCTGCATTTTGAAACCTCACATGGCACTTTGCCCATTGCCCTCTCAAAATATTCCCCAGAGCCCTGGTTCCCAGAGCAGGGAGCAGACGATACAGCTTCTGAAACATCTATTCCTTGGTCTACGAAACAAATCTCAAATATGTTCTGTTCAGAATTCAAGTGCCTTTTCCAATTTTTCCCTCGCATCCTTCTACCACGTTTGTACTAAATCAAGCAACTCCCAGTTTTCACAACACATCCCGCGGATCTCTACAGCTGTCTTGCCATAAGACATGGGATGGAAATAACTGGAGGATCAACCACAACACGTATCACGTTACTGTCTCTAGACTAAACTTAATTTTCTTGCATCAGATTTACCGGCACAGGACTCCATCCGGGCTGTTATGAATTGCTGGCGGAAATAGCCGTAGGGTCAGCTTCTGTCATCCCCTGGTTTTGGGTCCCTCGGGGGCCTGACTTCAGGCCAAATGAGGGCACATTTGCTACAGATTTCTGGGGGCAGATGTATCCCCTACAGACCTTCAGTACCTCAGGAATCTGGACAGGGAAGAAACACAGAACCTGTCCTGCAGAAAAGCTGAACTATCATGGGCTTATGTGGAACACTGGAACATTTCTCTCTCCCATTTCTAAATCCGAGGTCTAATTTGGAATATCCTGTAGGAAGTCGAGGCACATTCATCTTCAGGAGCAAACACCTTGTTTCTTCAAATGTAGCAGGACTGCCTTCCTTCTGATGCAAGTCACAGTTGACTTACAAATCTCAATGGCAAGCTTCCTAAGTATCCATACCAACTATTCACTTTTTCAGCGTGATGGCTTAAGAATTTGGGCAACTCATCCAGCTCAGAAGTACAGTACTATGTGAATATTCCTCACGGTTCCTTCCTTGGTGTAGCTACTGAGGCATGGTTTCATGACACCCCTCTTCTTGTTGGAGAAGGATGGCTGCTTAGGAAGCTGAATGACGTGTTACTGCAAAGATGATCATTCCAATGCCTGCTGTGTGTTCATTTCATTTGCTCCTATCTCAGGGTCTACAACAACTACGTATTTTCAAACCCCATAACATAAGTCATTCTTGAAAGCAACCTACAGACGTTCCACTCTATCTGCTTCCAAAAAGCGCTCCTACAACCTAGAATTTGACTCACTCCACTTTCCAAAACAGTCTGGCAGAGCTCAGCATTTCCTCAAAACACGTGTTGGCGGTCACCAGCTACAAGAATGAAGCTCAGAATCTCCCGACACCACCATGCAGAGGAAGGAGCTCCATCACTGCATCCAAAGCCACTTTCATCCCCAGATTTGCCTCCACACTGCAAATAAAAACATCCCTACCATGCAGAAAGCGAACTATCTGTGGACCAAACTTGGCAAATTACAACTCTGCTATTCTAAATCAATTTGCACGTGCTTAATTGGGCAAAACCTTCCATTAAGAGCTATTCCAAAAAAAAAAAAAAGCTTTTCCATCAGCAGCTGCCTAAAGATCTGAAGTTACCAGGACTAAGGCCACCAGATTTCTCTGTCCAAACCATAGTTTCTCAGAAGAATCTTTCATATGGATAAATCATGTGATAAAACAAAAGCAATCTCAGATGAGAAGGCCAAAACCAAACCTGTCGGCTAGTTTGGGTCATTTTCAAACACATCATCATCTCCCCTGTGCACCCCAACACGTTTTGACACATGCTTTTCTTTCATCTCTCCTTGGAAGGTCCCGAAGCCACAGGTGTGACTCACTGTGGATAGCAATTACCTGCTGTCTCATCTTTCTCTTATACAGATACAATGAAAACCATCAGATTTGAACCGTAAGTGAAAAAAAAGTATTCTAACCTGTAGCTTTCTATCTGTTCCACTTCCTTTTGGGGCCTGTACTGTACACTTAACCCCACAAAGCACATCTCATTCCAGCACTTAGCAGGAGCTCAGACACACGAGGCCAGGGTATTGGGAAGACCCCAACAGCCCCGTGTGGCTGGGGGGAACTTCAAAAGAACACGCTCCGAATGAGCAGCTGCACTGGGAAGCTGCATTTCAACCCCATGAACTGAAAGGGCATAATGGCACTGCCCCAGCCCACCTCATTTACATCCCTTTGCATGAGCCAGGGCTTTAAACTTCGGTGATGTGTTTTCCTAAACAAAAGAAGCCAGAGCCAGCATAGGTCTGACCTTCAAATTTGCTTCTGTGATTTTCATGTCTAACAAAAGTCTGTTCAGCGGCTCTTTTTTCCCCCTTGAGAACTGGAGAACACGGATGAAAACCAACACACCCAGCCCCATGGAAACATGTGCAGGACAGCGCTCAGAACAGTGGAGGTGCCTGGGAGCTGTGGACACACCCGCAGCCAGGTGCCTCCCCGACCTCCTCCCCGTTACAGAACGCCAGTGCAGAAAGACAGAAGACGCAGTTTTGTCCCAGCTGTTTTCAAGCTTTCATATTTACAATTGAGTTCTGCTACTTAATCCATCCCACTTTGCAGATCTTTGTGAAGATATAAAATGAGGAAAACAAAGACACCATTTTTCACTTCACCTCAAAAATGCTGTAATGGACCTGACGGCTCCCTGGGTAAAAGCTGTGGTACACGCTTCCAAAGGACACAGCTTCTCCCCAGCATGGTTGAGTTGTAACATCCACCTCACAATCTGCGAGTTGTGAGTACAACAGAATTGTGATTGACAGATCAAATCCATTCGGAAGTGCATTGCCCTGCAAATCCAGTACTTCAAAAGCTACACACGAATGCACAAAGAAAAAAACCAACACCAAAATCACGCATTCTCTACAGAAATTATCTCAGCAGATGTGCGAAATAACGAGCAAAACGCAGCACAGCCTTTTAAACGAGAAAATAAAACGTACTTTTGTCTCTTGCTAATGCTTTCCTCTGTTCCTTGCAGACTGATGGCAACAGATGCATTGCTCCTGCCTCCTGCCCCCATCGATTGGTTCTGCTCTGCTGTCAGCCAGCCAAGGCAAACCCATGGCTACCAAAAAAACAACCCCCAAAAAGTCTAAAACATACTACCACAACCACCACCAAAAACATTAAAAACAAACAGCCAGGCCACTCTGTCCCAACAAGAAACCCATCACTTCTCCCCAGTGCAAGCAGGTCTATCCGTAAAACGTTTCTGGAGATGAGCCGAGAAAAGGGAAGGCACTTTCAGTCTGGAGAGCAGCCACAATCTTTTAACACTTAAAAACAGGGTATTCATTCAACTACTGTTATATTAAATGTCCTTTAAAAAAAAAAAAAAAAAAGAAGAAGAAGAAAAAACAACACTCAAATCAGAACTTCTCAATTTCATATGCCAAGAGGATGGAGTTTATGTCGAACACTGTATTATTTAAGAAAGCATAGTTCTCAGGATGTAAATGAAAGGAGATGAGCCATCTGCTGTATCTATAAATCCAGTTCTAAGTTACAGGAGAATGCACTTTTCATTTAACAGTAAATTAAATCATCGCTGTCCCAGCCAGAAGAATACGTACAAAATACAGAATTATTCTAAAAGATGTAAATGTTTGCTTTTGTTCTCAATCTGTCACATAACCACTTCTCAGACAATGCTCTGATAAGGTATTCTTCACTAAAATGTCTCTCTCTTGCCCCCTCCTACATATTAGCTGCTGCAAAACCGTGGTGAGGGTTTCTTTATTAGCATCATCACAGCTGCGCCCCTCCCCTTTGCTGCCTTCAACATCCCAGCTGCCAAAGCCCAAAGCGACAGCCCCGCACTGCCCTCCACCCCAGAACGTGGTCAAGTCAGCAGAAAGGAAGGAGGTGCAAGCTTTAGGAGACCAAAGCATCCTTTAACATGGAGAACATAACTGATACGCTGCTTTTACCATAAGCAGTGCTACTGCTTTGTTCTGGCTTTTTAATATTTTATTTGGGTTTTGTATTCTCCATTTTGTGCTGCTTTAACAGTCCTGCTCCAGTTGTGCAGCTCTGCAGGCACTCTGCATTCATAATTACTATTATTGCATGGGCATGTATTTGAGCGGGGCACTAGATGATCTAGAGATCGTTTTTCTTTGCCTACTCCCATCTATTTTCCCTGAAAACCTACTTCATTCTCTCCTCCCACAGCTGAGAAAGCCTGTGTGAATGTGTCAGAGAGGTGGCAGCTAAGGAATCACAGACAGCAGTCTGGCATCTCGGAAGGGTCGAGATGAAGAATGTATGCAGAGATGGTGATCGGAGGGCGTGGCCGAGCCAGATGCAGAGCTAGCTGGAGCTGTGCTGGAAACGGGAAGACAATCCCCCTTGTTTGGTGATACATGCTCCCTAATCAGCAGTCATCCTGATTTTTAAAACTATAATAAAGTATGTAATAGTGCTTATGTCACGGGAGAGCCGTGTATCATTAAGATTGGGCGTTGCGCTGATGTTAAACAGGTGGGTTAACTTGGCAGCAGGCTCAGGCACACTGGTAGCAATGGTCCGGCACGAAGGGAGTTGGAATTGAGCCACAAGATAGCGATGGTCGGTACGTACGATGGTTCTTGGCCAGCTACAGCACCGGCAATCGCTTGAGGAGATCAGGAGCCACCCGCACACGGATGAGGCAGCGAGGAGTCACTGAAGTGATGGGTGAAAAGGAGCCGCGATGTGCAAGAGCAGCGATAGGCACGAGCTGGGAACAGGGGCACGGCGCTGGGGGCAGGAGGCACCCGAGCAAGCAGCTGGGGAGCGCTGCACCGAGCACTGGCAATGCCGGGGCAACAGCTCCAAGAGGTGACAAGCTGGGAAGGGGCTGGAAGAACCACAGGCGACGGCAGTTCTGGGGGCTTCGACCGCTGATGCTTGGAAAGAGGCATCGAGGGGCTCGGGGGGGGCACACGGTGGGTGCAGGACGGGGGGCGGTGGCACGGGTGGGAACACAGAGCCTGGATTTTGGGGTGCACAGCTTGGGTCTGGGGAGGGCACAGAGCCTGGATTTGGGGGCACAGAGGCTGGATTTGGGGCAGGTGCAGCCCCCCCGGAGCGAGGGGCGGGGGCTGGGGGGGGTTCGTGCACGGCGCCGCTCCCTCCGCGGCCGCTGCGCGCTCCCCTCGCCCCCATCCCTCTCCCCCCCGCCCTATTTTTTTTTTTTAAATTATTAATTCCTCGCAGCTGCTCGTTAATTGCAGCCGCATCCCTTCTCCCTTCTGCAAGAGGGTGGGGGGGGACCCGGCGGCGCTGCACCCCCCGGCCCCTCACCCCTCCCTCATTGTCTGAGCCCCCCCCTCCCCACAAAGCCCCCACCTCAGGGGCACCGGGAGCCCCTCACGGGCTGCCTCAGCACCAGCACCGGCACCGCACGACCAGCAGCAGCAGCAGCAGCTCCATCACCACACGGCCACGACCACCGCCCGGCCGCCCCATTGTTCGCCCCGCCGTACCTGCGGCTCTGAGGAGAAACAAGGTCCAGGGCAGCGCGGTGGCTGGCAGCATCGCAGCCGGCTGAGGGACGGCGGCCGTTGCACCTTTTCCTGCAAGTCGGGAGAAACGCGGCTCGCCTCTGCGCTCTCCCCCCGGGTTTTTAGCGCGGCTTTTATTTTATTTTTTCCTCCTTTCCGCCCTCCCTTCTCAATTCGCGTCTTCCCCCGGCCGCTCCTCAACGGGCTCCGCTCCGCGCCTCGTCCCCACACCGCCTTCTGCCGGCTGCGCCCCGGCCGCCTCCCGGCGCCGCCGCCGTGACTGACAGGCGGCCGCAGCACCGCCGCCCGGATCCCTCCGCCTCCCGGCCCCGCGCGGCGGGTGGCACCGCGCCGCCGTGTCCTTCCGCGCGCGCCCGCCTCAAATAGTGCGCCGCGGGGGGACCGGTGGGCGCTGCCGGCCGCCTGCAAAACCCGGCGCGGAGCGAGGAGCCCGGAGCTGGAGCGGCCGGCCCCGGGCTGAGCACAGCCCCCCCGTGAAGGGGGCTGCGGTGGTAACGCGCAGAATACATTGGGAGGCTTAATGGGTTGTAATTTCTGTCCTAAAATTAAGTTTGAAGCGCCCTGAATGGGCAGTTCTGAGTACAGAAGGACTCCTACCGGCACAGGCTTTGACAGAAAAGTGACAGCTATAAACCGTGCAGGCCGAAGACACCCCACATAAAGACAATATCCTCTAAGTACGGTTATACATCATCAGTATTTCAACGCTATTTTAATACCGTCAATCCATTCCAGCACATCCCTACCCCAGGCCTGAAGGATCACTCCAGGCCAGAGCCTGCTCGCTGGGTTTAACTCTTTTCTGCTCGACAGATCCCTTCCCCCTTCCCCTTTTATAAAAATGCTTCCCTAGAAGAAACAACAAAATTACTTATTGCGATCTGATTGAAAACATGCCTGCTCTGCTGCCTCAGCCCGCCTAGCCCACGGCCTCATATTGCAATGATTATCTGCAGAGCAACCTTGCTGCGCCATGCCACGTGCGGTGCCTCGCCACCCCCTGCTCCTCCAAACCCCTCAGCCCCCCGCACCCCACAGTCCTGGGCTCAATGTCCCCCCCCATAACATGAGGTCACTCATTTGGATGGGTCCCAGCGGCCATCGAACATTTTTCAGGTCATATATGTTGGTAACAGAGAGCCAACATCCCAGCATCTGGGTTGAAAAGCCCTCCAAAGAAACAGTGCCTTCTATCCTAAGTAAGCCAATGTTGGTACCTACAAGGTACTTCTCTCATATTGAAGAGTATACAGAGCATACATCAATTCTTACACACCTGTAGCGGATTAAATGAACTGGTGGCTGTAGAGCAGAGAGGCAGGATCTCTGCCATCCGTCACGCCAAAACATCTTGCAAGACTCCCACCTTGTTTCTCCAGCCTTTCAACTGCTGGTTGACAAATGTGGGAAAACATAGTGGCAAACCATCTGCTGCTCCCTCAACTCTGCCATCAACTCTTGTGATGAGCTTGTCCTGTAGAAGTCCCTCCAGAAGGCAACAAAATGTGGTTTTGTGAGATGTGGTGGTCTGTGGACACCAGCTGGATTCCTGGCACTGGGGGATGTCTGCCTCTGCCCTGAGCAGTTCGGTAAACTCCTCGCCATTCAGCAGCACAAGAGCCCAATCATTTCCTAAAGAGAAGAGACAGAGCTGTCGTACTTTTATTAGCACTGTCAGAACCAGTTTGCAGAGTTAGTTCTAGTTCCCAGAGGCCTTGCACAAGTGTCTGTTTATTTCCGTTCACTACAAAGAGCATCTATGTAGGTAGCAACCTCATAAAAATTACATTTATAGCATTCATAAGAGATCTTGGGAGTGCACAGGTCATTATATATTGAATGATGAGGCTATAATGCTACTTTGGAAGCTGCAACTGTTCATGTCAGTCTTTTCCATGAAATTTGAGTCATCTCCACAAAAGTCAGAGTATACCTGCACAAAAGTATTACTTGCATGTGTTGAAGTATCATCTTGTAGAGAATGTTAAATCAGTTTAAAGGAGCCTATGGGCCATGCCCATGCATTTTTTTTCCTTAATCTGTAAAATAAAAGGGTCAAATTACACAGTCAAGGTTTGATTTTTGACTTCATTGGGTTCTGGGCATAAACAAAAGTGAATGGAAAATTTGGATTGAGTTCTCTCCCTGGGTTAAAACCAGCAGCAATTGTATTTGTCGAACTACTGCTACCTCTGCTCTGCAAGTGGGAGAAGAAGTGAAGCGGAGTTGTAGCTATGCAGGCATTTCACAGTGTCATGAGACTGCAAAAGGACTCAAAAGCCAGCGTTCCCCTTTTCTTGACGTGACTGCTCACTGGTTGCCGTTTGAGGCAGGGTTGTTACAGGATGCACTGGAAATTCTCTCTGCCATCAAAGCATTGTGTGGGGTGAAGAGAGGACTTCATCTGTCAAGCTGAAAAAATAACAGAAGAGACAGTAATACTTCATAGTCGGTCTTTGTGAAGGGAAGTGTACCATCTAAAATCACTGCTGAGGTCAAATCCCGAGATTCAGACCTGATGCAATAGGACAGTAATGAGCAGTGCTCTACGGGCAGGTGGGTATGTTGCTGATCCTTTTCATCAACCCGTCCCTTATGCTAGCATCATTAAGCAGAGGTAATCTACAAAAAAATTACTTGCGTTTTTCTGTGTGAACTGTTAGACCCAGGTATATACACCACAAAAAAGACTTATTACTTATCTGTAGGCACACCAAGGAGACACGTTGTAATAGTCTCTCTGGTCAAAGCATTATTCTCGTCTGTGCAGATACTTATTGTGACACACAACACTGTGCAGAACACACCTCAGATCAATGCTCCTCTTCACAGATAAACAAAGCAAGCAGAGATCACCCCTTCTAATACCCTTCTGTTTGTAACTGATTTTTTTTTTTTTTTTAAGAAAGTTTTAATAAAGGGAAAAAAACAGCATGTTCCCTTCCTCCTGCAAGCAATATGACATACAAACCTAACTGTTAAGGCTCTTCTGGTGATGTCATTAACCACAAGAATGAAGGTGAAGTCATCAGAACTGGGAGAGAAAGTTACGATCAGAAATTCAGAATCTTTGCATTAAAAACCTGTGTCTTATCTACATACCTGGCACAAACTCTGACATTGATCTCAACATTTGTCCTGCTCTGGGATTTCGCTTGCCACAGCTGTATGAGCAGGTAATAGTTCCATGCACAGAACGAAGAAATATGTGCATGCCTGCTGTTAACCTACTCGTGAAAATATCATGGGAAAGAAACCTCATGAAAATAACCTGTCAGTCTGACTCACAATGGAAATGTCATTGTGAAACTAACAGCATTCTTAGAAAATATCTGGTAGTTATCTGCCACATTTCTTATTTCCAAAACTTTCACTCTTGGAGTTAAAATTTGAAATGTAATGTGCACAATTCTGTGCAGAAAACTATTACGCTTATAGCATGCAGTACATTTCTCATTTTATTATTCCTAATTTGTTTTAATCTGTACAGTCACTCAGATGTTTCAGTTCAGAAAAGAGAAAGACTCCCAGCTGATCAGAATCACAGAAGATAACGGGGCTGTGAAGAGTGCATCAGGATGAGCTGCCTGTTTTTTCACACTCCTCCCATGCCTTCACTAGAATCTGTTTTAATTGGAGCATTGCAATTAACAGGGCATCACCCAGTGCTTCGAAATGATAGCGGTATAACCAGCACCAATACCTACCTGTTTTAGAAGAACAGCTGTCCTAGTTCTGCTGTTATTTATACTAACTTTAATTAGAAGACTCACCGTCATCATATTATATGGAGCAATACATGTGTAAAACCAGTACATGCAAAATTAGAACAGAAGAGACTAAAGCATTAGGGTGTCCCTAGCTAAACATTTGGTAGCAAGTAAGAAATGGTTATCTTAATTGGAAAAATGCATCCCTCAACCTGCTTTTATTTAAAAAGTATAAATACATCTGACAGGAATTTTCAAGGACATATGAAAGTTATGAGAAACCACATTCTAGCAACACGGAGCTCCATTTCACATTTAGACCCAGAATAAACAGATTTTTTTCATACAAGTGGATCTGAAACATATAAATGACTGGTGGGCTCTACTTAACAACTTAATGACAGTACTCCCGCCCCCGTATGGTAATAATTTAAAAAAAAAGGTTTTGCAAGAGGCAGCATAAAGGGCCCTTTACGACCCTTCACCCTTCTCCTCCCCTGCTGCTGTGGTTCCTGCTCCTCTTGGAAGAGGGCAGAGATGCTGAGTGTGCTGACACTCAGGGACATACAATCCTAGGGTACCCAACCCATGTTCTGATTCATGTTACTTCCAGAATCCTCAGCAGAGGTAGGACGAGAACCCAGCAGTCCAAAATCCCATTCATCAACCCTCGATTCCTTGATTGCTACCTCCCAGCAGTGCCTGAGGAGTTCAAAAATCTTTTGAGACAGAGATTTCATGTCTCCAAGGCATTCTGTGGTCGATAAGCCATGGAGGAGGGATAGGCAGCTAATGGTGGCTTGCCCGTCAGAGCTTGTTCTCCTCTACCAATCTACTTAAAGCCATCAGCTTTCACTCAAAGAAAAAAACATCACACAAAACAAACACCATCAAAAAACACCATTGCTCTTATCCACAGTCCCAGTGTGAAGGAAATCCAATCATTTGCTCAAGAGCTTTTTCGTTTGCTTTTTCTAACACTAACAACGGTAGCTTGGCCCTTGTTATAACCAGTCCCTTGCCACACAAGGGAAATTCAAGAGATTTTTCTCTTCTGTAGTTACAACATGAAACAAGGTCAAATTTTATGCAGCTATGTAGCAAATAGCTGTTTGGTTTTTTTTCCACCTCTTGTTATGCAAATAGTAATACAAAAAAGTTTATCACTATAATTATCAAAAGACTTTTCTAAATCCCCCTAAAACTAAATTGCTCAGAGAGGGTTCCAGGTGACCTTATGGCTAAGGAAATTAATTTATTCGTTCTTAGGCAATGTTGCTGGTATATCACAGGCAGTTTTTATTTTTCCTTCATGTGCCTTCAGATCCTTCTGTTGGGATATTACTGGATGGTCATGTGTTGCTTGGACATAAGGCTCAGACTTTTATGAGAGCAAATAATTTTGTGCGGTGACAGAAGGCAAAGAAATTACACTTGGACTTACTGTTAAAATGAGGATTGGTGACTGGGTTGTTCTGTGAGTAAATAAAACCCTTAAAGAAAGCATTGGAATTTATGATGGTCTGAACAATCACAGGTCATGAGGTCCACCAATTAAGTTCTCTCCCTAATTGATGCTATGTCCAAGAAAAAAGAGTTGCTTGTCTTCCCCATACTGCACTGAAAAATGCAAGTCTTTCCACTTCTGCAGAATAAGTTGTGCAAGGAGATGTAGTAGGAAAGAAAATTATGCAATGGTCGGTAGGGGATGCAAGTCATAAATAAAATACAAACATTAACCTTTGTGAGATGGAGAAGGCAAAAGAACAGAAAAGGAATTTCAAAATGTGATTCTGTAACGAAAAAGCTAAAGAAGCAGTACCAGCCCTGCAAACAGTTTTCATACTGCTGCATAACTGGCACACGGTGCATACTTAAACCTTTTGGAGAAGACCCATCTGCACTGTAGCCTGTTAAGACTGACAATTATTGGGGATTTTTGCACTTTGAAAATTGAGTGCTAAGCTGTTTTGTTCTCATAATCCCCCTGTCCTGCGCGAAAGGAGGTCTTCTGCTTCCTATGGGGAGTCTTCACTGTTCCTGCAAGTTTCTCTTACTTACACCCTGCTCTTCAACAGTATTCAGGAGGCTTTGTCCTTTGATTCAGATACAAGCAACGTGACAACGTACAAGTTGCATCAGCAGCTAAAGAACTGTGCCCACCTCTCAATCAGTTCGTGCAGCCCTGTGCTCGAAGCTTTCCTCTACCTGCAAGGCAAGGGAACAGGGTTGTGCTGACAGCATCAAAACACACGGGTAGGCAGTTACTCAAACAGAAAAAGGAAGAATTCCATTTAGAAATCGGCCCAGAGCACAGCTTAAGGCAACATGCAGCCATGCAACATCTTCCCCCTGTCTTTCAGGGTTATGTCTTCTGTTTCCTCAACATCTTCAGTTACAGCTAGGTTTAAGGCACAGAAGAATAGCATTGGTAATAGAATCTCAGTCTCTGATGCTGTATTATCGCAGCCTTACATTGCCCTAAAAATATTGTAGGGAGGTTAAAAATGACAATAGCGATGTTTCTATTTTTGCATAATGGTCTTAAGATGGTGCTGAAATGCAGTGAGAAAGAAAACATCCTGAGAAACCCTTGCTGGCAAGGCAGGATCATTGTTCTTGAACTGAATTTATACTCCTCGTCAGTAATAAAGACAGGATCAAGACATCCTGGATTCACATCTGACTGTTTTTGATAGGCACATTTAGGTAATTGCCCATGCAGAATGACGAAGTCCAACAATGAAACCCTTCAGTACCCCATTAGTATTGCAGTCCTTGCTATAATCAGCCTGGTGGGATGTGCAGGGGCCAAAACCACTTAGAGAATCACCAGTGATGCCACTGCAGCTGTTGCATATTCAACCCAGATTATGACTTCCAAAGGTTGGTCTGATGAATCTTCACTTGCTTTTCAAAGCCAGTTTTTATCACCGCTCTTCTTGTAATGTAAATCTTGGATCCAAGTTAACATAATATTAAATAATCACCTGGTTGGAAGGATGTCGACAGGCACTTCATTCCTTTGGAGGGCATTGTCTGTTTTATGAAGCATTTCACATTAATAGCTGCGGCAGCTGATATCTCTATACCTCGAAGTGAAAGGGCTTAGGCTAGCATAAATGCTAATCAAGGCCCCAAAATAGGATTAGAGCCATGTCTTGGATGTGCGGTGCTAGTTCTTTTCGCAGAAGGAAGTTTCATCCCTAATGAGGTGGTTGTTAGGTAACACATAAATGGCTCTGTGCCGATAGTAGTAACATGAGTAATAGCAGATGATGGAGGATGATGCATTTCTTCTGCAGATGTCTACCACCTGCACAGCGGCGCTGGCTCTTCTTGGAGAAGGGCCGTGCTTATTATCAGAGGGGAAAGAAAGGAATACTTCCTAGCAGTCAGAATCCTCTCCGATGACTTGGAGATCCTAGTCAGGTGGGATAAATGGAGAAAGAGCCTGCATTTAGCAGAGTTATGCTAGCCTCTGCAGGGGTGGCTTCTTTTTCCCCCTATATAAACGGATTTCTAAATAGAAAAGCATAAGACAATTGAGGCCAGAGGTTATAAGATGCATGCAAGCCATCTCAGCATATTACATGACCTGAGAGAGACCTGGTACCTCTCTAGTCATGTGTTGCCCTCAAAAATCCTGACAAATATCCGAGAGCTTCTATTTAGAGCTTTGAACGTGTCCTCACCAACTTCATTAAAAAATAAAAAGCCAAACAGAAAAGGTTACTTCCTTGCAACTGGGATGATTTACCTTCTTGATAACTTAGAGAAAGCAAGTGGCACAATCCAGAGTGCCAAAGCTTTGCATGTGCTTAAAGACAAAAAGAACATGTTTCTACCCAGAATGGAAATTGATTTTGCATATAATATTTTTTAGCAGTCAGTTTGTCCCTTGGGGATAAGATATTTTGTTAACTCTCACGAAGAGGATAAACATCCCCTAACACCTAAATGCAAGTTACTTTGTGGGGATGTCACTGCAGTCCATTAGCAGTATTGGCCAAACGGTGTGATTCAGCATCTTCCTTTCTATTACTACGTATTTCTGTCTATTCTTACTCTTGCTGAGGATTACCAATATAAAATTTGTGTTTTCTAAAGTTGTTGTTTTAGTGAAGCACTCAGGAGAACCAAACTGAGTGCTTGATAAAAGCACAGTGAAAGGCAGCCCCTGCTCAGGGCAGCATCCTGCCTAAACAGGTGAGGCAAAGACAGGCAAGTTGGCCAAACACATTCAGAAATCAGCTTTAGGATGTGCCTTGTGCTTCCACCTAGGAGATCCGTGGCCAATAGGAAATGAAAACCGATCTCCTGGGCCTCAGTTGAAACCGTTAACCAAAAGGCCAGCCTTGCATTTAATTCCATCCTCCTGCTTTCAGGAACAACAAAAGATGACTTCCCCTCCCCCTTGCCCACTCTGCAGAAAGCCCTGTTGCCATAATGTTGGTAATTAAGAGGCTGACAGCAGTACAACTGGGGGCTCGTGCAGCTTAGCCTTCTCCTGCGGGCACGTGGCATCGCTGACCTCCTGCTACCCACCGCACGGCTTTGCGCTGTGAGCTCATCCTGCAACTTCAGCAGCAGGGCTTGGTTTACAACAAAATCCCTGTCCTCTGGTCTGGATCGAGGAGCTGCTTTGTTCTCAAGTGCTTATTGGATCACCACTTGAAGCTTCGCTACTTGTTTTCAGCATCCTTGAAAGACCCAGAATTGAGCTGATTTCTCTGACAGCATCTGCAGGGCAGTTTTCCACCCTGCTTTATTTTCTCATGCACCAGTTCAAAAGTTCGGCTTTAATTGACACAAGAAAGCAGGTCCCAAATGTGTTATTTACCTGTGAAAATCACTTCTTGAGACGAAAGCAGCACAGAACATTCACATCATTTTGGTGGTCCCAGATCAAACCATATTTAAAGGCTATTACATATCATACTTCTTGCAACAGTTAAATCTAATCCAGGATTTGTTCTTTCAAGTATATATAATATTACGAAGCCTTCAGATGTGTAGAATCTTGCCCTCTTTAGACATTTTTAACCTTGATTTCTTATCCTCCAAGTTCTGCAGTAAAAAGGATGTGACTCCTTTTCTATTCAAAGACAAGATACCTTGTGAAGATGTTTTCTGAATGGAAATCATTGCCACACTACAGGCACCCTCCCTTTCTGTTTCCATTTTTTAACCTAAAACAGCCCCTTGGGCATCCTAACCTCCATTGGCACAAGCACTCCATCAGAGGAAATGACTCATAATTTCTCCAGCAATCAATATCTACAATGCATTTCTTTCATGGTATTACTAAGAGTCAGATATGTCCATATAATCAGGCCATTAAATATAGCCATTTGTAATGAGCTTAAGTTTGTTGTCAGCATTTACTTTATAGATGCTAAAATGGTTATGAAAGTTGTCATGAAAGGAAATTACAGGGCTAATTTTGTAAGCTTCTGTCTCTGACCAGGCATGGTTTCTGAAATAATCCTACTCCAAAACTGTCTTCCAGCTCTGATGACGGCCGATGGACTGTCTGCTTGAGGTCTGGTTGGTATTTCCTTAGTGGGATAATTCTTCAATGTACGTGTGCATGCTGAAAGTGTTAAGAAAGCAGCCACGTGTTAAAAAGTAACAGCAAAGGGCCACATTCACACAACCACAATTCCAGCTAAGCCAGCATTCTCTGGGGCACTTACCACTTGACATAGGTCCTCTGAGTTGCTCTTTAAGTGTAACTGGGGACCTATGTAAAATAAAAGCCATTGGTAAATTTTACCAGATTTTCAAAATGTTGCAGTTGCACCCATGGTTACAGTACATACAGGATGTTGCGGGAATAATAGGTTCACAGAATCTTTCCAAAGTCGCTCATCCCAGTTCCCCTTGCAGACTTCATGGCCGTGATTCACTAATGGCTGAGCGATAGCCCCATTAAAGGGACGGATAAGGTAAATACCAAGTATTCACAACCCTACTCCCAGGATCATATTTGTGTGCTGTTTTGGTCTACAAAAAATCCCAGCAGTGTTAGTGACACGGTGACTTCATGCTCATTCTTTCCTGCTTCTGTGTCACTCTATTTCTGCTGTTATCGGTGTCTTTCAGATAGAAACATAAAGGTTCCCAAACCTCTTCCTCATGCTCCTGTGCATTGCCTCAGGAATTAAAGGAGAGCTTTGCCTTGTTTTTCTGGACAGAGCAGGAGCTGACCCTTCCCCATTGCTAAGCAACACACCCAGCCTCGTCTAAGCGCCAGCTCCTATTTTTTGCTGCAAAGGAAAGGTCAGAGTATTCAGAGGGAGCAGAATTGTTTCTAATTGTTCATTTATAGCACCTTTAACATGACTTATAGAACATGCTTATTCCTTGGGAATATGTTGCACATTTAACCTGTAATTCATGTCTTCCACTCTGGAACTCACGGTAACATATACTAAGTTATTTGCATCACTATCACAGCCTCAAGATAGAAATCCAGAGAAAGGCACAGAGATTCAAAAATATCTTTGAAGTTAGAAAGGGATTACTGCTGCCTCTCACCCCTCGTAGCATACATTAGACTCTTTGTTTGGTGTCAGCAGCTTGCCAGGCTGTCCAAGCTGACAAGCCTTTTTCATCGGGAGGACTTCAACCCATCCAGGCTTTTGCCTGTTTTACCTGCCATACAAATCCTCCTGCAATGCGTTGTGCTCTGTTCTGCAGCACAGCCGCCTTTCTCAGCACAGCTTCAGCAGCGTGCTGTGGCTCAACTGTCAAATCTGCCTGAGCCTTGTGTTTGTGCTTGTCTGGCTGGCTTGAAGGGAATGCTGCTGACTCCTACCCTGTCTGCTTGTCCATCACCGTAGCCCCTCTTCCCACCAGCACACCTTATTTAGGGAATATACATGAGGATGATTGAGTCACAGCAAGCAAGGAATAGTCTGCCTGTGGTTGTTTTGTTAAGAAATAGCTTATCAACAGAGATCAAGGAGTGTTACATTTGCACCTTTGCTGTAGACAGCAGCCCTGAGTACTCCAGAAACAAGGTGGCTTTTAAAGCCTCCCTGACTCACCAAAAAACTTCTTCCTGCTGCAGCACAGCCAAATGCTCAGAGGAAGCCCTTCCCTGAGGGTGGCAGGAAAACACTTTGCAGAGGTGCTCTGAGGAACAGGGGACAACAGAGTTTTGTGACAGCCATAAGCTTACTACCAATGAATTTGAGGAGCAGCAGCCCAGAATTTGACATTGCCTCATTCACTGTGCTCTGATCCCAACTCAAGGTGTTGGGTAGAAACTCAAGAGCCTGGTGGTCCTCTAAAACTCTCCACAGCACAAGGCTCACCTCAGGTTCTTGCTCACTCCCCGTAATCAGCATTGCTCATAAACTACCTTTACAGATACTCCTCCACTGCTACTCTTCATATCTCACCCCAGATGAGCATCAAAGCACAGGCTAAAACAGTTGCACTGCTTTGCATAAATTCTTCATATAGACAGCTACTGCCAGGCAGCATAAAGAAAAGAGCAGGAGTGAAAGCTGAGGTTTAAATAGGGGAAGAGACATCCTCAACTGAGCACGCTAAGGGTGAGATTAATTTCATCTGGGTTAATCCCGTCCTACAGCAGGTTCCAACAATAGATCACAGACACCTGGCAGAGGAGCTGAGGGGAAGCAGCGCAGGTGTGGATATCTGCACTGTAGAGCTTTAAATTTGGGATCCCTCCCAGTGTGAGTTTTTGGGTGTGGTTTGGCTTCACTATGTAGGTAATCTAGAAATTGTTATTTTAGAAAATGGGCCATGACTGTATTCTGGTAAAGTATCCAGAGAATTCTCATCAGTAGAAATATATTTTCAGCTTCCTTATACAATTAATTTCTGTTCTTTATCAAGACAAATGGTATTTAGAGAAGGTGAATACTATCATTCATGGTCTGTAGCCTGGATTCAGCTCATCAAAGTTTATGTAATTAACTGAGGCAGTAAAGTTCGGCTTTTATCTCTGCCTCTCTGAATGGAGGGAGAGAGGTACTTCAAATGAGAACTTATGCCTACTAAAATCAGAATTTTTCCAAAGAAATTATATTTTTGTAGTAAATTATTGCTTTTTCCCAAAGTACATTTTATTATGTAATAAAAAAACATTTAAAACTTTGAAAACCCACACAAAACAGAAAATCTAGTTTCATCACAGATCCATTTTCTACCCACTGCCCCAGTTCATGATTTAACAGCACAGACAGAGTTGCAAAATAATAAGTCTCGGTATAAGAGTCAAAGAACATTGTGTGGTCTTATGGCTAGCGTAACAATACAATTTTCCAAATTGTGTTCTCCATATAAATCACGGAGCAAATTGAACAAATAAAAGAAAAATACAATAGCAGAGGATTCTGTTTCTCATTGCAGTATTCTGGTTCCAGTTCACAGTTCTCCAGTCTGAAAACAAGGCTGATGCCACACTTGCAGCCTAGCACATAGATCCCCTGCACGTGGTCAAACTCTTGCTGTTTGTGTGCTTCTGATCCTGGTGGGATTTTATTTACAGATGACTTTATGTGCTATAGTGCTCATCACAAACGGCATTAACTTCAAAAACTAAACTCATAAAATGAAATTAAAGTTGATCATGCAGAAGTTCTTAGCCTGTGTTTTCAACAAATCTGTTGAGGATGAACAGCACAAGATAAGCAGACTTTTCCTTCAAGATAAGCTTTACTTTCTTGCCATGTGAGATTCTCTTGTAGCCAGTGAGATGAACATTTATTAAAATTTCAATAAATAGTAATTCATGGAAGATAAGAGTTTTCTAGCTCTGAGCTAGCATGCCCTCCAAAAGTTATTTTTGGAAGGATGTTGCTGTAAGTGCCGGGTCCTGTTGTTGATGCTTTGTCCCTGGTCTCTTTTACACTCAGAGCATGAGACTACAGCAGAATCTGTAAAGCAGTATTAATGGACTACAGAAGAGCTCACCATGGGAAATTCAGAGGTGATATCAGCCTCTGGGGTGTCTTTTTCACTCCGCTTGTGATTATCACTCTTATCTTGTGCTTATGTGATTTAGTCTTACAGTATATTTACACCACAGATTTTCAGGATAAGAACTAAATTTTGGCTGGTATTTGGAGCATTTAATAATATGGTTTACTGATAGGAACTTTATGGACACCTTTTTTTGCATGGTTTATGATCTATTTAATACCTAGGCTGAGTTTAACCTTCTTAATTGACCTCAGAAAAGAAAGCACATTTTATTTTGGGATGTCTTTGCAGTTATTTTAGTCCTCTCCTGGTTTTGTAGGGTGCTTACGCAGGAATGGAGACATCACTTTCCAGCTGCCGTCCCCCACGGCGGGCGGCACAAAGCGCACTTGTCAGCTGCTGGTCAGGGCTCGATGTAAACAATCACAGATGAGTGCCTCGGCGCCTGTCTCCCTTGAATGCTGATCTTCAAGCAAAGATGCCATTTGAAATCGAACACGTCTTTATAAACAGGGAAAGAGAACAAACCTTAACGGCAGCTTGGTCGCCATTCGGGTCATTTGCGAGGACCTTAAAAGCATTGCCACAGAAGAAATGTTCGAGCCACTGCTGATGGAGAGCGAATTAAGTGAGGCAGAGCATAATTACCTGGCTTGGACCTCTGCCAGGAGAATTGTATCAACACTCTACTTGTCATGTATAACATTATAGGGTCTTTAATGGAATTAATTTATTACAGTTGGTTATTCAGATAAGGACACAGGGCTTGTACAGGCTCGCACCTGTTGCCTATCTGTGTGACGGTGGCTCAGCATGGGGCAGCAGGATGTGTCCTTCACATCACTACCAGGATACTTCCACCAGCCCGAGGAAGATCCCCTTGTCCTGCATGACCTTCTGACGGCTCGACCTGCAGGAAAAGGCAGGGCCACAGCTCTAAGCACACCACTGCCCGCAGACAGCAGTGCTCTGAGCCTGTGCTGCTGGGGAAAGCCAGCTCACTCTGTGCACTGATTAACATATTATTCCCACCAGCTTTCTGAAGGAAGGAGGTTGCTGTGTGGGCTGCCTGTCTCTCTCTCTGTCTCACTGCACATCTAGGATGCTGCCAGTAACATTCACTGCCTCGGCGGCCGGCTAGTATGAATTCTTCACAGTAAACTTGTGACATTCAGATCCGTATAAAGCAGAGCCCTTAAGTGGGCTAGCTGTGGCATTCGTTTCCTGCATTAAGTCCGTTACAGAAAGGAAAATAAAGCGGGATGCGGTGTGAATAGCAATGGTGGCTGCGGGAACTGGCTGTGCCGTGGCACCAAGCAGCTCTGAGCCCCCTGCCCCGCACAGGGATGTGCTGCCGGGGGGAACAACAGCTCTCCCTGCCCAGCCTCCACCTTCAGGCCACATCTTGACTTGTACAAACACTGTATGATTATTGCAGATGAGGCACGGAAGAAGACCTGTATTTCATAGCTGCATGTTCCAATCGCATTATTCGTTTGCCCCAGGGTATTTATGGAGCGTGTTTTGCTTTGCGTCTTCGCAGCATCTAATGCAGGTGACTAGCAGGAGCAACAATTGTCATGGTCTTCATCACCATCATAAAGTTAGAGATTTCACTTTTATTTTCTGCACTTACAGGTAGAAAAAAGGCACTAGAGAGCTCAGGAAGCTCAGGTTTCTGGGCTCTGGAAGCACCGTGATCTTGTGGCTGAGCTGAAGAGCCCTGCTGAGCTCTGGTGTTTGCTCATCTTCTTCTGCTGTGACCCTCTGCAGTACCTCACAGTGCTTCTGCCTGTGAAATGTTCCCGTTCTAATCATCCAAAGTGTTTAATAAGGAACAGGAATATTGCTAGTAATTTAGCATATCATTAATGATGTATTGCATTAATGCATGGATCACTGAAATCAGCCTTTAATTCAGATGACACATCTTCTAGTTTTGGAAAGATAATGGCTTCCAATTTTCATTACTTCAGCTTCTTGCAACTTTGCAAGATTTTCCATAACACTCTAAACTTCACTGGGATGTACGCTAAGTTACCTGACACTGCTTATGAAAACTTCCCATGCAAGTACTGAAATAACTGCCCTTCCTTCCTGTTTGCTAAAGAGACATTTTTAGGAGTCATATTTTGCCTTGTCTATATTGCTGTTTCTCTGGAGTTTAAAAAAAATAAAAAATAAAAATAAAAAAAAATATATATATACATATATATGTATATATACTTTTTTTTTTTTCTTTGGCTTTTCTGAGCATCCCTGAACAGGTGCTTTCTCCTGGGAAATAGGTTGAAGCCCTTTGGCATAAGCATCCCTGTACACATTAGCTTATGTCATTCTCGGGGGAGGACTAACCAGAGCATGACATTGGGCTCTTCTACTTGAGATCCCGCGCACAATGCCAGGTGGGGCTGCCTGCCAGCAGCTCCCCAAGCCTCGCATGCCGTGCAGGCAAGAAAGCTTCTCAGCCTTGGGTTGTCTGCGGGCTCTGAAGGTCTGAGCCCAGAGCTTATAAGATACTGAGCTTGTTTTAAATGCAACAGCTGAGAAATGGCGAAAGGCAAAATTGTAAATGTGGTGTAAATTTTGCTTCTGTTCTTGAGTAAGATTTGCTTGGAGGCTGAACGAGTACTGCTGGAAAGCTCAGAGCCTCTCCTGTGGCTGTGATTTTCCAATTTGGTTCTCAACTGGTGAGAAAAACTGCCTGGTGTTTGTACCTCTGCTTTCAGAAGCATCTCACTGATATCTCTCTGCCACAAGCTATAACATCTTAAAAGTAGAAATGAGATTCATCCTCTGTTGGTGTCCCTGCACATGAAACAGCATAGCCAGGGGCGATCTGGCGCAGGGTCAGGGACTCGGGCTTCCTCTGCATACAGGATGGGAAACCGTGACTCCATGAAAGGCAATGAGAAAACCGCTTCAGCAACAGTTGGGAAACTAAAGAAAAGGTGCTTGCCGGCTCACAGATGCTGCATGGGCTAAGGGACCCTCCTGACTGTGGCATTAGCTAGCAGTGCCCACAGTCACTGTGAAAGGAGGTCACTGCCGAGCGTGCTGAAACATCGCCAGGAGCTGATGCGTTGTGGCCAGCGTGTTCTCACCCTCAGCAGTTTTCTGTGGCTGAAGCACGCTGATGGCCACAGTAAGAGTACAAATTGCTTCTGGAGCCTGAAGCTCTGACCGTGTCTTTGCTTTGCTTTTCTTCCCCATTCTTGTTTTAGTCTCCCACTGACCCCATCTATGAGAGGCAGGGTTCCTGTGATGGTGACAGACACCCTGTAATGATCCAGAGGTGCTCAGGGCTGCTTGTCTGCACTCATCGGATGCACAGAAGTCCACTTTGAGGTGAATACAGCCAGGCACAGTGCTTGGAAGCCCTTCCAACACCTGCCTGCATCACCTTTACTTTAACCCACTGAGCCCCTGAGAGCCCAGTATTGGAAACTGCAATGGGGGAGGAAGAGTTGCAGGCTGCGTGGGGGCTTAGCAGGGCAGTGCCTTGCTCCCCTCCCAGCCTGTGCCGAGGACACGGTGCTGGAAGCCAGGTTCATTACTTTGTTCACACACCGTGCCTCTCTCTGCTGTCTTGGCAAGGTGGTGACATTTTCTTTTCGGTGTTGCCAAACATGCCGGTGCTGCTTTGTGTTCTTTGGGAGTGTTTCTGAGGATTGATTGTTCCCTGCTTTTGGCTCCCTGGAGAGCCACAGCACCATCTTCTGCCTGCTGCTCCTTTTTGGTCCCCCACCTTCTATGCTCCCAACCTTTCCGCACAAACCCGAGGGCATTTCTTGCCATTTCCCCAGGAAGTAATGGAGCCATTACAGCACATTTCTGCCCGGTCTGACACGCTCAATTTCACCCTAACACAAGCATAGGCTCATCTGTCAGCGCAGGGATCCTGAGATGTGTCACAGCCTTGCACGGACACACACACACAAAAAAAAGGTGGGGGGTGTCTAGTTAAAGAGTACATTAATGCATTCAGAAAAAATATTTGGGTGGAAGCTGTTCTGTTCTGGGTGATTCTCTGGTTTGAGAACAGATCAGTCATTTTGGTGAAGGGAATGCACTGACAGACCCTAAGCTGCGTTCTCAAAGCTGTTTTTCTGTGCTAGAGCTGTCCTCCTCTCCCATTACTTCTCCGGCAGTGAAGAGCTCTGTTTCTTTGCCATGTTTGGCTGCTGAGGATTTTTGCCAAACCAGAGACCCCAGGCTGAGAGCAGTACAGGACACTGCAGGCAGTCAGGTCAGCTGGTGACCCGCTGGATATCGATTGCTGGTGCTGATGAGTCTGTTACTGGGATAAGCAAACGCCCTGGGGAATTCTGTGCCTGGCAGAGAGCCCACATCTATACCCAGTGCACGGGCTGGAGTCAAACACGAAGACAATGTGTTAGCTACACTGACCCCACCTAAGTCTCCCAGGAAATAGTGCTCACAACAGAGGCCTTTGGGGAGACCTGAATGTCCTTTGGCAGCCTTTACACACACAGCAGGACTCTGTGCTTTCTCTCTCTCCAAACCCTAATCCTAATTAGAGTCACAGAATTTCAGGTTGGGAATTAGGAGACATTTCTGCTCAGAAAGAGCAGTTGGGCATTGGGACGGGTTGCCCAGGGAGGTGGTGGAGTCACCATCCCTGGGGGTGTTCAAGGAGAGGTTGGACATGGTGCTTGGGGACACAGCTCTGTGGTGACATTGGTGGTAGGGGGTGGTTGGACCAGGTGATCTTGGAGGTCCTGTCCAACCGTAATGATTCTATAATTAATGAATATCATGGGCTAAGGTTCTGGGAGCATCTTTCCACAAAAAAAACAGATGGCAAAGGCTGTTCATTGGCACCTCTGTGGGTCTCAGTGCTGCTCAGAGATCCGGTTCTTCTGCATGCTGCCTGTCATCTCTTCTACTTTAAGCTCCTGCTGGAGATACTCAGGACTTTTTTTTTTTTCTCCTTTGCCGTTCCTTAGAACATCTGCTAGCAAGTCCAGATGTCAGTAGCAACTTTCTTCACGTGCCAGGTAGTTTAAATTGAAAGCAGGACCCTTGGTTGTGATCTAGCAAGTGTGTTGTTTTGGGAAGGCACGGCTGGCTCTGTTAGTTTAGGAGCTCTTAGACAAACACAAACAAAAACCAAAACAAAGTCACTGTTATAAAGCACTTTGGCTTTCTTTGCCTAGGTGAATTACCAAGGGCTAGAAGACAAGTTTCCTAAACAGATTCAATTCATCGCTCCTTCAAACAGATTTCCCCAAGAGCAAGAAGCCCACCCCAGGCCTTTAACATAGGTTAAATCTCTATTTTCCTCTGGGTATAGAAATGTAACTGGATTTCTTGATAGCAGCGATCTTCCTACAAAGTTTTCATGTTGTTTTGGTGCTGGGCATATTTGATATAAAATATGAAGCTAACCAAGGGAAGCCACACTGATAAAACACAGACTTTCTGCTGCTACCGAATTAAGAAAGGGGACTGTGACCAGGAGAAAAAACATTCGGTTCAGAGCAGGTCCAGGTGTTACAAAAGACAGCAGCTGAAGCCTGTGTTTGGGTCTGAGTGGTGGCAGTGTCCCGGTCACCTTCTAATAACATCCCAGTAAATTCAGCCACCCAATGCCCTGTGCTTCCATGAGAATCGAGTTCCTGAGTCCCAGGATGGACTGGGCCAGATTTCCCAGCTTGTTCCTAATCTGGAAGCATCTGTGAACTAGAAAATCTCTTCTCTCGTGAGGCAAACACCCCGCTGCCACCTGGGCCGAGGTTTGCTCAGAAGGAAGGCTTTGACATTTTTCTTACTGTTCACATTTCAGTTGTGGTTTCTTTTGATGAGTTCATTTGCCTTTGTGTGGGTTGTCTGATTGCAAGGCATTCCTTCACAGAGATAACATAAATATTTACATGGTACCCTACATCAGAAGTCTCTTTTAAAAATAGAGTGATTTCACCATTTACAGTCTGCAAGTAACACTTGCAATTAACAGCAACGGCTTGCTGGCATTAGCATCCAAGAGACAGATCAAAATTTACAGGGTCTGATGTCATGGTGACTGGAGGGGTTTTTTAATGTGTGTCTCAGGAAAATTTGTAGCCTCTATATTGCTAAAGAGCAGCTCTGCGCCAAATTTCAGATTGACCACAGCTTCTGATCGGCCAGTGACACAGTGAACAAGTGTGCTCTGTGAAATGTCGCTCTTATATTATCTTTGCTTGGGTTATGGAGGACATTTTAAGGTTGGCTTTAGGCAAGGCAGAAAGCTGCCAGCAGCATTGCACCTTGCCACAGTTTTGGTGCTGGGTGGTGGTTGCGATGTGTGCAATGCTAGCGATGCTTTAGTAAGCACGGCCTGAAAGCACCTTTGGGGAATCTGTCAGCAATGCTTAGGGCATTTCCTGCTTCTTCTTGAGGTCTTTCTTTTCAGGGAACAGTCTTGATCAGATGTTTCCCTGCAGGCTCGCTCACCCTCTTGGAGTTCGGTGGGTAGAGCAGAAGGATCTGCTGCAATGCGGAGACCAAGCTGAGATGTCCCAAGCATGGAGCCAAGTCGGTGTGCAGATGAAACCAGGACCCAAGATTCTCCTCCATGAAACAGAACTATTTTATGTGTGCTTTTTTCTGACAAATGTGTGCTTTTTTCTGATGCCACATCACACTGCCCTTTGGATCACCAAACTCCCAATTCCTGTGGGCAGAGCCACCAAGCAGATGCAGCCACGGTGCCTGGAAGCAGCGCTGCTCCTTCCCGCAGTGCCTGCCCAGGGAAGGTGGTGAGAGGGTGTCTGGAGCTGGGGACCCTCCCTGCACCCCTACTCCTGCAGCCTTGCAGCTCATGGGGGTCCCACTGCCTCTCCCCTTCAAGAGGGAGCAGCAGAGCTTCTGTCACCAGCCAAACTTTATTGCCCTCCTCTGTTACCTCCACCACAGAGTGTAGCTGTCCCCAGGCCTCCTGCTTCTGCAATATAATTCCCTTTTTTTTGGCTGAAGCCAGCTGTTTCTGGTAGTCTGTTCTCCCAAGCCTTTTGGCACCACAAGCTGCTGTGTCAAAATAAAACATGATCCCCTGCACTCCCCCATGCTGGAGGTAAAGGATGCCTGTTTGCACAGGGCACTATATTTTCCACAGAAAGTTATGCTTGGAGCCCAGCGAGAGGTGCGGGGAGGCTGTCAACTCGTTTTTCACCGGAGTTCAAACACGTGCTAACAAACAAGTGCCGGGGCCTTTCCAGCCGGCGTCCTGCTGAGTCACAGTGACATGCAGCCACATCCTCACACTGCAAAGAGGTTTTTGCTCTCCTCCCTCCCTTCGGGACTCTGCACATTTCAGCCCCTTTTCAGTTTGAGTCTTCTTCAGGCAACGCACTGAGTTTCCTGCCTGCCAGTTCAGGTTTAAAGCTGGCTGCCTGCTTGCTTTCCTCGAGGGCAAGGCAGCGCTGGTGGGACACGGAGTCAGAAAGTCTCGAGGCGCCCCAGGAGATTCTCGGTGCCAGAGGCGAGCAGAATTCCTGACTTGGAAGGGGCTTGGGGATCTGAACGTTTTCTCCTTGTTATCCACCCACCTGCCCGGCCAAGGCAACGAGGATCCGATGTCGCGGGGGTGTGCTGTGCAGGAGGAATGCGTGACCATGAAAACAAACACGGTCTGGCGATTAAAGCACATCGAGGAGATCCGCGGGGAGCGGGGGGAAGAGGGGTCTGAGAAGGGAAGTGGGAGCTGGCTCCTGTTCCTGGCCACTGACCGGCTGTGTGACCTGGAGCGAATCCCATCTCCTCTCTGTGCCTGCTTTTCCCTTTTGATATGTCAAGTGGGATGATGTCCCTCACCTAGTTCCCAGGCGGGGGAGAAAGGCAGCCTCATTACTATTTCCCATATCACCCTCAGCAGCCACAGCAGAGGTCGGGCCCCTTCTGCGGGGACATCCCCAGGGTGAGGGCCCTGTCCTGAGTGCCAGGAGGCAGGGGATGGAGTGGTGCCACGCTGCAAAGGGGACCAAGACGCAGAGGAGCCACATCCTTTACCCAAAATCTGATCAGAAAAGCAGTAGAAGCTCCTAGTATATCACAGCATGTGGAAGGTGCTGATGTCCTTACACGAGGCCTTTAAAAATGAGTTTGAGAGCACCAGCACTGTGTTGACACAACCACACGAGGTTACGACTGATTGCTGCTCCCTCCTGCCGGCTCCAGGGTGCTTTTGTGGTGTGCTGGGGGCACTGGGTCCCTGCAGAGCAGCTCCCGGGTCTGCTCTGGGGAAGGGGCTTCCCCTCTGACAGGGCCAAGAAGAGCCAGGTACCCTCTGAAACGATGCATCCGCTGCAATGAGAATGGGCCGAGCCCATCTTAAAGTGGAACACAGAGGAAATGAAAAGTATTTGCTGTTTTGGAGCAAGGAAAATGGCAGGGCTTGGGTAAGAAGCTACAGCGCACAGACACGGAGATCCAGCTCCCAAGGCACAGTGTTGGCAGACACCTGTGAGGAGATGAGAGGTGTTGAAAAGTTTCACCTCTGCTCTCACCCTGGCTTGCAGAGCCCTTGCTGTCAGGCTGTGGGTTTAACTTTCTGTGCAGTCTCAGACGATGAGCTCCTCACTGTAGGTATTGCAATGAGGAGCCCACATGCCAGAATCTGCTGGCGCATCGAAAACCTGCCTGAGTCAGAGCTGAAATGCCAGTTCGAGCTCTGCAACAGCTGCAGGAGCAATAGGGGAGGCAGGAAGGGTTCTGGGAGTTTCAGAGCAGTGAGAACAGTGCTGCTGGCAAACTGGGAGGTTGGAAGTGACTTCGGCTTTAAAGAATCAGAGGAATGCAACTCTGTTTACAAGCAAATAAATAGAAATAACTTGCAGAGCTGTATATATCTCCCACTTGTGCCCTGTCAGAGAATAGCTTCTTGGATGCTGTCTCTAAAGCTGTAGATGCTGGAATGGACAGGAGGGACCTAGAAGATGCTTACTACTGCCAGCCTTCATGAGAAATAGCTGTGAAAAAGGGCAAAGATCAGTGGGGAAGGCAGAAGGGTGGGAGTGCTCAGCCTTGTGTTGATGACCCAATTAACCCTCCACACCCTAAACATTTCAAATATTTGATGTGTGACTCCGCACAGCTTTTCTGCTTGGGGTTTTTACATCTGCACAGAGATGCTGATGAGATAAAGCTGTGTTTTCTTTTGTCTGGAGAACGGCTATAAAGGGAAAATAGTATAGCTGTCTTTTGCAAGTTGAGATGGGTTTCCAAACCGTGACAGTATTTGGTAGCTTTTTGTGCACCCAGCTATCAGAAATGCCCGTGCTGTGATGCTTACTGCTTTCTGCATTATCTGCCTCAGCAAAAAAAAAAAAAAAAAAAAATAATAAAAAAAATAGAGCCATAGCTTCTTGTAGTGGTTATAAGAAAGCTCTGGAGGACTCCTAAGTCCAATCTTCATCTTGCAGGATGGGGAAAGAGTCATGTTAGCCCAGCTGGGTGGGAATTATCCTATCACTAAGCAACTCTGCTTTTGTCTTTCCCAGAAAGTGTCTTTGGCGTTAAAAACAAAGGTGAGAGCACTTTCGACCAAGGTAAGTGATGGAGTGGATAGAGCTCCTACTGGCCACGGTCAATCCTTTCCCAATTTGTACCTGGGAACTATGGTCGTGATAAATACAGGGCACTGGAACTTTAATGAAAGGGGCACTTACTGAGTGAAGTACCAGTGTCTCCAGGTGGCTTGCACAATTAGAAATTCTCTTTAGTCCGTCTTCTGGCATGGATTTATGAAGCAAATGCAGTTTCACGAGTGATTCAAAGCCCTGTATCTCTCTTAAAATATGCTGCGTGCATGCCATCAGGCATCCAGGAAGCTGTTCCTTACTGTGCTTTAATTTATCTCCATGATACAAGTGAAGTCAGAAGGGACTCAGCAACGATACTTCAGCATTGTTTCTTGAGTTATTTTGTGGTGTGCCATAGTGCAGAGCTCACAAATTCACAAGCGGGGATCACAGGAGGCAATTCCCTGCCGCAGCAAGACTCAGTGGCTGCAGAGATGCCTCCCTGGCACATGTTTGTAATTGAAACCAGTTAAAACCTCATCGGACAGGCGCTGGGGGTAGGAAGTTTCTTCCCAAAAATAAACACGAGGGTGGGAGTAATTTCCATGTTTTTTCATTCTGAGGTACAAGTAAGTGTTGTAGAGCATCTCTTTCATTGAGAAGGGATGTGCTTTATTTTATCAGATAGTCTCAGCTTAATATGCTAATTTCAGATTTGGGTTGTGATATATGAGAGTGAGACTTCATGTTAGTTTTTCATAGGGGAGGATACGTTCTGATACCATCTGCGTGTAGCACTCACATTCCTGTTTTTCCACACGGACAAATAGCTGGAAATCACCCAGTGCTACCTGGCTGCACTGGCATGCGAATGCAGAGCTCTTTTTCTGCACGTCCTGACTCAAAGCCCTGAGTCCCGGTTTGCCTTTCATGTTTTCCGGTATTTAGGGTGGAGAATGCGTCTTCTGCAATGCCCCAGTAGCAAGCACAATGGGCATTAAGCTCAGCTGGGATCTCTGTGGGCTCATGTAACAATACTCCTGAATGCTGAATTTATTACAAATAATCAGGCCCTTCCTTGGAGGCAGGGATGAGCCAGTAGATTTCATCTTGGAGACCTTAACTGGAAATTCTTGTTCTGGATCCAAATTCTTGCTGTAAGCCCAGTCATTCATCTCCTGGCTGGCAGTGACAGCCATGCCCCATTCTTTTTGGGTTGAGGGGCTCAGATATTAGTGAAAATCAGAACTAAGTCCCCCAGTCGTGGGCCTTGTGAGTTCTTCTGAATCAGAAGCATCACAGAAAAAGGAGCTGCTTAGGTCAGCAAAGCTCAGAGAATCCCTCCTTGGAAAAAAAATAACAAAACCACCACTGCCAATAACAAAGGTCTAGCAATGAAGTTGGCATCTTCTAATGTCTTCTGCCTCTTGGAGACTTCTTGTGACGTCTGGCAATACACTGGCCTGCATGAATTCATCATTTGGGGCAGGGAAGATTTGGAAGTGTTCAAATCACGCACACCTCAGCTGTTATGCAAGTCATAAATAATAATAATAATAATCAGTTGCAATTACTTCCTAGCATAATTTAGTTTTTAAAGAAGAGCTCAAAGTAACCTTCCTTTTTCCTAAAGTGGCTGTGACACAGGCCCCACCGGGGCCGATAAGGATTTAATTGTTACACTAAGTAATTTATCTGATGTAGAACATCAGGAACTGAAGTGGAGCAGGTTAGCAGTGGGACTATTGCATTGTTGCAAGACCTTTGCTGACATTCAGCTGTTGTGAGATAATTGTAAAATAGGAAGGTGACTTTTTGGCTTTCAGGTCTAACCTTCACTGTTCTGAGCTCTGGATTTTGTGGGAGAGTTTTAACCGTAAGGTACCCATTGCATTAAAAGCACAAAGCTTTCGGATTGTGCTGGTGACACAAGTTGAGCTCAGCTTGCAGGGAGTTAATGAACGTCCCCTCAGAAGTGATAGCAGCACTTCAGAAGATCTCCATATTGCTGTATTCTCCGTGATCCCTGGGGAACGAGCCATAAACGGCTTCACTGCAGAGATGTGACACCTTCAGCATCAGTCAAGCACTGATGGTCACACCAATTCCCTAAATCCTATCCTATAAAACAATGTCCCTGCTGGACAGGGCATAAAAATGCCTGGTAGGGTTTGCCTGCAATGGATTGTTTCTGGTTACAGTTTTGCAGAATGCAAACCATGGTCTAACACTGCTGGTGCAGTTCTGCCAGCTTCAAATGGTCAGATCCCATGGGTTTGGTGTAGAGTGTGGGCAACACATTCAGGGGCCGAGCTGACACCACAAATCACCAAAACAAGCACAGCAGAGCAGAAACAATGCCAGGTACAAGGGCTGGCAGCTTGTTAAACACCTCATAGACTGCAGCTGGATACAAACGTTAAGGAATTAAATAGAGACACGGGTAAGTGGAAAGGATGTCTCTCATGCAGGCTATTCTCAAGAGCAAGCCTCCAGCCCGTGTCCAGGCTCCTCCTGCATCCACGTGTGCCCACAGAGTGGACCCGGGTGAGGCTGCACCGGAGCAGTGTTAGGGGAGTTAAATGAAACATGCCACATAGCAGGGCACCTGCTTATTTTTTGTAATGTTTGCTTTGTATTTTACTATTGAACAGACGTGGCAGAATCACTCTTTGGAACAATAAAACCAAGGAGACACGACTAATATGGAAGTTGTACTCACAGTCACTACTCGGTCCCTGTTGCAAATTAAGCTCAGGTGTTGGCTTATATACTGAGCTGGAAATAGCAAGGCAATATGGATGGCCAGTATTTCATGTGCCACTCCTTTTAGATGATTAGATGGAGGCAAATGACAGGGCTTTCTGATTTAAGACCATTGACTTTTTCGCATTTCTCGAGATGGGTGCAGCAGAGACCCATCAATTAAGTTCTTATAAGAACTGGCTTCACATTTCTTATTTGAGTGCATTTCCCTATTAAAATGCAGTGTATCAGTGAGGTAAAAAGAAACATCAATTACTGCTCCCCAAATGTTTACTTTTTTATAGCAAGGAAAAGTAAACATGCAGCCAAATCCTCTTTTCTCCCCCTCTCTCTTTGGAGAGGTCAGTAGAAACTGCAAATATTGGTACAAACACATCCTAGATGTTTTCCAGATACCTACCAAACAAACAAATCACGGACTGCTCAGAATTTCCAGCCTCCCCCAGGAACTAACCCACTTTACCTGCTGAACGTTACGTTGACTCGGTTCTGTGAAGGAGGTACTTGACACAAGGGCTCAGCCAGAGATTAATAGTCACCGAGCAGCTCTAGTTAGGGAAATGCTTCTTGCTGCTGCAGGTGATATCTATCTTAAAGAAATAAAGCCAGAGCTATCATCCAGATGACAAGCCAGCAGAGAAATCCATGGTGTGTATGTTCGAGTGAAGCAACCTTAAGAGAATAGAGAGAGTGATTTAATAAGCCAGAGAAATTGTCAGATCCCTCATCCCATTCTCAGGGAGACAATGAGAATGAGGCAAAGTCACTGGGACTTAAAACTTCTCTGTCAAATTAAGCACGTGTGTTATTGCTTTGCTGCTTGGTGGCCCACGTCCCAGGGATATACAGAAGGAAAAAAAGGATCTTCTGTCCCTGCATTACAGGAGGTGAGATATCACGATTCCCTCTTGCAACAAACAGGGTGGGCTGTGCAGGTGGCAACAGCACTATCCCTAAAGGCAGGGGAGACCCAAAAACCAGAGCCACGACCACCCACAATCTGCTGGAACAGTGGCCGGGGAGTGGCAGAAGGAAGTACCACAAAAGGAGGAGGTGGGTTTGTGCTCCTCGCTCCCATGCCAGGAGAGCTTGTGTGGGCGACACAGGCAGCGGGTGGAAGTGCAGGTCTGGGTTTGCTTGTCCCAGGCAAGAGGAAGCTCCTGATCACATAATCCTCATCCTGCCTCTTTCATGTTTTTGCCTCTTTAGTGTATTTCATTTCCTTTTGCTTGGTGGCCAGGGAGTAAGGACTCCTGGATGATGCAGAACACCTGAGACTACAGAAAATGCAAAGCCTGGCTGGGTTTTGGGCTTTTCTTTTCTGTTAGTTTCTGGAGACTGGACATTTCCCTACATTTTGAAAGGGGGTCTGAGGTGAGGGTATTGTCTCCCTCTGGTCCAGGCACTGGATGAAAGGTGGACAAACAGCCGAGTCAGGATGCTTTCCTTGCACAGTGGGCAATTTTTCAGACTTACTGTGTCCTCTTTTTGCTGCCCTGTACCATTAACACCTTGCTACAGCTCCAGAAAAGGCTTAAAACAGGGTAAACTTTTCCTCTCCCCACTTTGTTTTCAGATCTAACAAGAGGCTCCCAAATACTGTCCCTGCTGCTGACGGCTCAGCCCCAGTCCCTGCTACAGCATTGTGTGCAGTTGGCATTTGACGGATGAATTTGTCTTTGCATTTCGCAGTCCTAAGGACAAGTTGTACAAACTGGAGAGCAGAAAATTCGTTCTGCCTTCACAGCCTCACAAAAGCTTCTAGTTGCTATCACACGTTGTGTGCCCTGGACACAAGAATCCCGTCAGTGCTTGGCATCAGGTTGGTGTATTCATGCCTGCATGATAGGAAGGTGGAAGAAGACAAGATAAACCCGACTGCCAAAATATAAGGGAGGAAATGGGCACAAAGAGTTAATTCAACGGCCACTCCTTTCATGTAAATATTCAGTCCTTTCTTCAGGGGGATCCCAAATCGTGACTGTTTACCAGCTTGCTACAAACAGAGGCTTTCATTGATAGATGATTACAGCTCATTTTCTGGACTGGCTGAGACTGATCTACACCAGCTGAAGAAACAAGCCAGCTGTTACCACTGCCTCTGCACCACAAGATGAAGGCTCTGCTCTGCCTTTCCACAAAATCTCCTCACCCTGTCCCCATCCTGATCAGCTGCTTGTCCTCTTCAGTCTTCCCAGGACTCGCCTTTTACTGCTTTGTGGCCCAGTTTGCAGAACTATTTTGGTTAGCAAACCGTCTTCCACTCCCACGTTGCAATGGATTAAGAGCTTATAATTGCTGTTGCTTTAAACTCCTCACTACATAGCTGGTCCAAGCAGGTTTAATTAAAACTGCAGCCACCTGTCTACGGAAGGGCTCCCAGAGTTGGCAGCGAGCAGCGGGATTTCACAGGAGCGCATCCCTGGTACCTGCAGTGCCTTAGGGCCTTTAAGAGCATGTGCATAAACAAGCCCCTGCTCCCTACAGGCCACCTTCTTGCAGGATCCATAGTGATTTTTCTGTACACTTCACTCCCACCGAGTGCTCCTTGCAAGCAGAAGCCAGCAGCTCGCCAGCATCACACCCAGCCCAGACTGCATCAGCACGCAGCAAGCCTGCCTGCCTGTGCTTGGATCCCACAGCTGAAGGGCTTGCCTACAAACACTCCTTCACATCTTGGAGGGTGGGAGTGCCGAATCACCGCCCAAGTGTTCAGCTGAGGGATTTTCACGTCTCCTCTTTCTCACTTGTGCACCGAGTGCCTCCTTCTCACGGCTGCTTCCTTGCCTCCGCTGCCAGCGCGGGGAGGGACTCTGCGAACTTCCCCAGCAGCCTCGCTAGCAGCATTCAACAAATTCCTCTGTGGAGAGTCCTTAATAGCAGTCGCCCACAACTCCTCTTTGTGCTTGTTCGCTCCTCTCCTGGCTGCTGCCAACGCGGAGCCTGCTGACCCACTTCCTCTGCGAGCCTCCCTCCTTGGGTTAATTCACAGGGAAGCGTTCCCAGTGCCTCAAGAAGTGGGAAAGCGAGCTCTCTGCAGCGCTTCGCAGAGGAGGGAGCACATCCATGTGAGCGCACAGCAGGAGCCAAGGCTGACTGTTGATGCAACATATCTAAGTGCAATGTAAACACCAAGGCAGCAGATGATTTGGTGCTGGAGAGCTCGGCTCTTACCAAAACGCAGTTCATTAGCTGCAAGGGTTGCTGTAGCAAGTTCAAATGCAGCAAGAGGCAAAGGATAGGAGGAGGGAAGGGACAGCCCATTTTAATTTTTGCAGCAAGCCCTGGCAGGGGGATGCGTGGTGGGTGTCCTTCGGCTCATTCCTTGCCTGCTGCTTTCCCTGCAAGGTCATTTCAGCAAGTCCCCTTGGTGAGGAGGGGTCAGTTGCAGCCAGGGTTTGTAATTAATTCTTGCCAGCATCTACATAGTTATTGCTATTGAACGTCTGTCTCCAAAGTAACCCTCCAGTTCTACATGGCTCAAAATCAAGGTTTCTTGGCTGGTGAGGCAGCACCTCGGCCTGACAGTCCCAGGAATTTTTGTTCCCTGGTTTTTGGAAGAGCCCTACGAAGAAATTCAAGACGAAGCCGTAGAAGGAAACGCTGTTTCCATGTAATGCACAGATTAGCTTTGGAACCCCTCTCAGCAGGTCCAGAGCATGGCAATATTTGGCAAAGAAGCAGAATAAGGACTATCAGAAATAACCCCGCATATCAGGAGGGTCATTTGGTGTCCTATTTAAAAACGTCGTCTAACTCCATATAGCAGCTCTGCACAGACTGTGTGCACAGCATCTGCTATCACACACCCTTCTACACTGGGTATTCTTCTGCTTCCCTCTGGAGCATGCAGAGGATGTGGGCTGGGCTGCTTCAGTGGTTCTTTTGTTGGAAACTCCCCCACCTTCCCCCTCATACAAAAATCTACTACTTCTTCAAATAATGTTATGTTTTCGTAGGAAAGAAAACCACACTGGTGGCACGGCCTGCAAGAGCAGTGATGAACGCTCTGCAAAGCCCTGCTGAAAGATGACGTTTAGGGATCAATTAACCTGTCACACCAGCAGCACCATAATTTTCAATGCAGTCATGCCTGATTTATCCCACTGTGAGCAAAGAATCCCATTTCCTAGCAGTGGGAAGCTGACACAACCCAAGTGCTATGAAAGAAGAGCAGAGAACCAGACTCCAGGACCACAAAGACCAGCTGCATTCATCACTTGTGTAAGCACATTACTATGATTTCAATCACAGAAATAAAATGTGGGGTGATGCCATTCTTTCACTCTCAAATTTCTATGCTGTGCAGGGTCTGTGCTCTTTGTGTCTCCCTTCAGTTTTATCAGGACAGCCTGTGGCCTGGGAAATTCCCAATGAGACCAAGGAAGCAGTTGTAGCATTATACCCTGAGCTTTAAAAAACATCTGATGGACAGCAGTTCTGGAAAGAGCAAGGTGAGTATGTGCTGAAAAGCTCCTGCAGCATGATGAGAGGTCATCCCAAACTTCACATAAGTTTCTGTTGAAGTTGATTTTCTCCCACGGTGACAGCACAAGCCAGCGTCAAAGTTGTCAAAGCCCAGCCACTGAGACTGCCATAAGAGATCTGAGAAGAAAGAAGATCCCATTGTTCCCAACAAACTTAAGATTTTGAAAGCAGATTTCCATAATTGGACAGCCTTCATTAGTAGATGTTGAACATGAAGCTATTTTTTCCCCTTAGCCCTGTTTGTTTTTTCTCCCTCCCAATCTCATTTGCTGATGCAGATCTCAAATCAACACGCATCAGAAGCTCTCTTGAAAGAAAAGCATATTTTCAGTGTCTAAATATGTCCTGGTAAACAATGAGCCATCTCTTAAGCAGGGCAGGAGGGAACATCATTGGTAAAACTGCTTATATGAAGAAACACTCAAGGGCAAAAGAAAGAGACTTGAAGCCAAAGACAAATGCAATGACAAATCCCCACATGGGCTGGATCCAGAAGGCTCCCACCTTACATAAATAGTTTCCGGCTCCTGCATTCACAGATGGAAGAGATGCAGCAATCATCATATGAAAGCAGCCAGGTATGCTCAGTTTAATGGGCTTTTTTTTTTCTGCAGTAATTTGTTCTTTATTGGGTTTAAACAAATTGAGTTGACCTTCACGTGTGCTACCTAAGGATGCGCCCATTAGAATAGTAAATCAACAAGGGAAAAACTGCTCTCTCCATAAGGAGCACTAACTCCTTTTTAACTAACTAAGATTTGCATGTAAACAAATAAATAAAAAATTTTACTTTTGCAAAGCTTGCAGCTCTGGCCAGGTCTGGTGGGGGCCTCAGGTGCTTGGCAAGCTTTGGAATGAGTGTAGTGGTGCATCCCCAGAACAACAAAAAAGACACCATCACACTCACATCACCCACTGCAGAGTTTGAGACATAGTGTAGATCTTGGAGGGGTCTCATTTCTAAAGACCTTTACAGTCACTCAAAAAATGGCTTTTAGGGGAGGTAAAGGAGGGCTGACTGGTGTGATGAATTAGCTGGGACCCACTAAGTCCTTTCAGATTCTGGTAATAACACGGTCAGATTCCCAGCCCCTGTTGGCAGCCTGCTGGAGTTCTGGCATTTAAAGGCCTGGATCCATGTGGTCCGAGCTCCTGGACTGGCATTTCTTCACTCGTTGTTATACCTGGGGATGTATGCTCCTTGTGGCTATAGGATCACTACGAAGTCTGGAAGTAAAGATGAGTAGACAACATTTACTACAGCAATGATTCTGGCTTCCTGCTGGTTAGAGCCTTCCTCATTCAGCAAAGTACAGATCAAACACTTGCTGAGCTGCTGGCTAAAATGCTGTTAGCATCTCTCTGGAGTTTGGGAAGAAACCCTGTTTTAGCTGCAAGTATTGCTTAGGTTATGAACAGTCTGACTTTGAAACAGTCTACAGGAGCTGCTTTGGAAGGATGGGATCTAAATATTCTTTAATTAACCTATTCATTATAATTAGATACCACAGCCACTTATCTTCTAATCTGGAAAATGAACATTCCAGATGCAAAAGGGAGGTTTTCTTTCTACCCTTTAAAAAAAACTTTTTTGCTATTTAGTGAAATGTTTAAATGCCTTGTCACCACAGAAGAAACACACAAAAAAGTGACACTCGATGAAAGATTAAGGAAAATGGGGAAGATTAACAAAGCTTGATAGGCAGGCAATTAAAATAGAAGTGAAGGATCGTTAGTATTCATTACCAGAACACACAGTCAGGGAGGGCTGCAGCTGTAGGAAATCCCCAGTATACAACTGCAGAGAAGTCTTCCCCCAATGGTTTGCTCTCTTCACTGCCGAGGTTTCCACTGGCAGTTAAATGGATTAAGTGCTTTTGTTGCCTCTTCGCCCTCCAAGCCTTATCTGGACTAAAGGCATCTTGAAAGGCCTTGGAAGTGCAGCAGCACCGGGTTCAGGGCAGGTGAAATGGCCGATGCCATAGGGCCACCTCCTGCTCAAAGCCAAGGCCAGGCAGGACCCTGCTGCCCTGGGGATGTTGGGCAGGTGGGTGCATCACCCAGAGAAGCAAGCACCCAGCAGGCAGCCCTGGGAAGGACAAGAAATAAGAGCAGCTGAACGTGTGCCTCAGGTGCCTAGAAAACCTTTCGCTGCATCTTGAAAGCAGAGCAGCATTGTTTGCATGCGACGTCCCAGAACATCCCTCAAGACAGAAGAAAGCTCAGAAAGTTTCAATGGCTTCTTTCAAAAGGAGAAACTTAAATCAGGTCTGTCTCTCCAGGACAACTGGAGCACTTAAATTTGTGGTATTTTAACGGTAATAAAAATATATGCCTGTCAGTCCTTGAAAATCTCTGCATGAGCAAAGAAAGAATTTGTTTTCACTGGAATAACCATGGGCCTGAAGAGGCGTTTCCACCTAGCTCCATCTTTGTCCCTAGGACACAGACATCAGCCTTCCTGGCACCCATTTCCCTTAAGCAAACTTGTTCATCAAAACCCAAGCTTAAAATCACATGCAGCACGGAGTGCTAAACACACGGGTACGAAAGCAGGATAGAAAATGAGCCAGAGAGCTGTGGGAAGTCTCTCCTGCTAGAGAACAGCTCGGAGCCACCACCAAGCCCAGGGACCTGCACGGGCTGTGCCTGGCCAGGTCCTTTGCAGGCACGGCTCAGCTCCGCTCCCTGAGCACCAGCAGGGCCAAGGCATTGCACCTGCTGAGGATTACACCTGATCTGCCTCAGCAGCTGTGTGGAGAGAAGCCTCTTGGCTAATCCTTCTGCTAGCGAGGAAACAAAGATATTTCCTTCTGGGTCTCACTCGAGAGCAGCGAGCTGCAGCACGCCACGGGGAGCAGGGTGTAGGTGGCAGCTCGGGCTCAGCAGAGCGTCCATCTGTCTCCAAGCTGTTCCCACACCTTTGTGGTCCTGCAGAGGTTCCCCCTGTATCACGGACTCATTCAGCTCCTGGTTCTGATAATAAGTTGTCTGATGGCTGCTGTGTAACTACAGAGATACCAAGTCAACCCCTGGTTGCAGTAACTGAGCAGCTCTGCTCACAGCAGCACTGCCAAGTCAGGCTCTTGCTTCAGCCTTTCCCCAGTTCTTCAGCATTTGTGGGCTCATGGCTCTGTTGCAGAGAGCAAAAAACCCCTTCCTTCTCTTAGGTGGGGAAAAAACATGGCACAAACTGCCTGCTGGCCCTCACTTCTAACAATGTGGTTAGCCCCAGCATATCCCCCATCCCTCAGTTTCTCCTTGTCTTGAACTCCAGAGTTCTCTTCAGCCCAGGCATTGATTTGCTGCTGAGTAACTTCAGGTTCATCAATTTCATGTTTCGCAATCAGATTTGATAGATTAGGGGGATTATTTAAAATGAGAGCCCAAATTAGCTATGTTACTGACAGGCAGAAAAGAGACAAAGACTACCCCTGGCTCTTCATCCTCCTGTTGCAAACGCAACCTTTGTACGAGCATGCTTCTTACACAGCATTTGAATGGAAACACAGCCAGAGCTTGTTGGACCAACTCCTGGAGCTGATCGTCAGGAAGCTAAGATCAAAACATATGCAAGCGGGGGGGCTGCACGCACACGGTGTGGATACATCAACAGACAGACGGGACTTCTGCGCGCACGGTGCAGCTCTGGGCACAGCCCAGCTCCGCAGCTACAGCTTGCTCTTCTTTCCTGTTCTCCCACTGATCTGAACCAGCTTTTCCAGTTGGTAATGGGTCCAAGCTGAGAACAGGAGCTGAATGCAGCTGGCATTGAAGCTCCATTAGCTCAGGCTGCCTTTGCAGGGCTCCACACAGCAAGGGCAGCATTTTCCACTCAGCCCAGGCCAGAAAGATCCCTGCTTGCTCCTATGTTGTGGAAGGATTTTGCTTTGTACCCACATCGTCCAGAAGAGGATGGACACAACACAAACTGCCCCAAGGGGTGAAAGCAGCCCTACATTCCCTGTAGCTCTCTGGTCAGTTCCCTGACGCAGGAGCAATAAAAACCACAAAACATTTGCCAGGCCAGCAGCAGAGCAGGTGCCAGCAAGCCAGCTGTTTTGCTTCCTGCCCTGGAGGGATGAGAGGGCTGGGGAATGTTCCTTCAGAATGTTCCTGCACACCCTGCAGCCCTTTACCCACCCTGCCAGGAGCTCAGCACCCCCCTGCACTGGTCCTGCAGCACCATTAAGCTCAGCGGCTGCTCCATCGGGGCTGGAGGGCTCTGGCGTGGCTGCTATGGAGAGAGGCAAACTCGGATGGATGGTAGGAAAGGCCATTATCAGCATGTAGCTGCAAGGAAAGATTTATTGCTCAAGCATCTTCTTTCCTATGCTTTAGGATCTTTTACACAGCTGCTTTTTCCTGAAACTCTAATCAGCTTGACAGCCTGCTGGTTGGTGGCTGAGCAGGGCTGCAAGCTGGTACCCCAGTCACATTCTCTCTTTAGAAATGGTCAGGCTTGATTTTAAGGTTCAATAACATTTGTTCTTTTCTCCGAGTGAACAGAAAGACAGCTATTCCAGCAGTTGCAGTTCAGATTAGCTCTGCTATCACCTTTGGTCTTCCTTTCATCCTGAAGCGTTCATGTAATGGATGAACAAGCAAATAGAGGTCCAACCCACCTTGATGGTCCTGCAGACATCACCGCCACTCCCAGGCTGACTTTGGACACTTGGCTTAGCACCCGTCTCCATGCCAGGCCTTTCAGTAGCATCCTGCTTTTTTTTTAAGCAGGATCCTGCCCTGGATTTCACCACACAGCCTCTCCCCAGTGCTCAGCCCTCAGGAAAACCAGGGTTGGAGGGTGCACATGAGCAGCAGACCAGCCCTATTTTGCACAGGTCCAGCTCTCTGTGGACCCAGACAAAGCCCCACCAGCTTCATGTCTGCCGGTGGGCACACTGAGAGCCCTCTCATCTAGAAATAGAAGCCTGGATGGCTCTGTCCTGCCCCAGTCCTCCCCTGCACTCCCCATCACGCAGATCCAGCCCAAGCAGGCAGAGGGGTCACTCCCTGAAGGGCAGCGGTGGGTTTTGTTTGGGTGGAAGGGTACTTCCATCAGAAGAAAGGAAGGGGAAAGGCTTGCTTTGCAGAGGGAGGTACATGTTGTACGTGGCTGGATACTTTATTGGGAATGAGCTGAGCTGGTAAATGTCTGCTTTCTATTCTTTATTGTGTTCCAGCTTGCTGGAGACCTCCGGACATGCTCCACTTACAGAGCCAGCCTGCAGAATGGGCTAAATTAGAGGGCTGCTTCAGGGAGATTTTAAGGTATTTTTGGCCACAGTGAACTACTGTAGCTCATATACAGAAGTTGAGCTTTAAATATGGAAAAAGACAACAACCCAGCTTCAAATGAGGCTGATGAACAAATCACGAAGGTTTCATAGCCCATTGAATCTTCAAGGAAGCATGAATACATGGCAGCCACATGTATCTGTGAATTACATACTCTATAGGTTTGTGGAAAAAAAAATAATTTTTCTTCTTATTTCCCATTTTTGTTAGAGATTTGAAAGGAGAAATAGGGCTCAGTCTCTCAATTTCTTTAGGGATACTTGTTATGTGTGCCTGGTACCCTGGGGAGCCTGTCTCTGACTTGCAGCTAACAGACTTACAATACTAATGAGAAATAGATCATACGAATGATACAACCAAAGTGATTCAGTCTGAAGCAGGAGGCAGGACTTCACAAACACTTCTGGATACTTTCTAATTGATAACAGCAAAGAAGAGCCCTCCTAGGAATAAAGGAAGAAGCTCATAGCTGAAACAAAAGACCAGGAATCAAAACCACTGCACATTATTTCTGGCACGAGTTCTGTAAACCTACGGACCTCCGAGTACAGTAGCATCATTACATACAAGAACAAAACATGCTCCAAAGGGACATTAGGAACTTTCATAGGTACTGATAAGTTAAAATGATCAACATTTCTAGAAAAGAGACCAGCTGAAGTGCTGATAAAAAAAAAATAAATAAATCAAAAAACAAAACCTGGCTGCAAAGAACCTGTATTATTTTTGCTTATCGTTGATGTAACTTTTCCACAGTTTTGTTTTGCCTCTGTTTTCTTTCAGGAGCACTGCTTGAAGCTGACAAGAACATGAAAAATATTTACCTGATGTATGTATGTGTGTGTATATATATATATATGAAGAGGAAGAGGGAGGTATTTCCAAGAAAGGCTATACCAAAGGGTAGGGCATAAGCACAGCTTTTCTAGATTAGCAGAGCCATTTAGGGATTTTTTTTTTTGGCTTGTAACATTTCAGAAAGTCATGTCAGGATATAAGTAGAACCCAGCTGCAGCTTGCCAGCACCCAAGGAGCCTTGCAGTGGCCTTTCCATCGGCTGCTTTAACTGCAGATACAGGTGGCTTCAGGTGAGCCCTGTTGTTAATTAATGCCCCCGCTCGTGGAAATGAAGCAGCACTTTGAAGCTGGAAGGAGACAAATTGGTCCCCGGGGAAGAAGATGTGTGGCAATGCTCATTGCATCATCTAAAAAGCATCATGCAGGCAGCCAGGCCACTTCACTTCCCACAGCAGGGACTTTTGTGAAAGGAAACTGAGGACAAAGGGCCCCACCTTGGGACCAGGGTCATGATGCACCTGAGAGCTGCAGTGTTAAAGCTGCTGGGGCCTTTCTGCAGGTGTTTTGTGATCCCAAACCTCTGCTGTTCCTAATCAGGTCAGGGCAAAATGGTATTAAATACACTGCAGACCAAGTGAAGAGTGCAGGAGGGGAAAGGACTGGGTTTGTATCACTGAGTGCATTTAAAAACTGAAAATCTGCCAATAGAGGTTCCTTAAAGACTAGAAGAGCATCAGTAAAGCCAGTACCCTGCCCCTGCTGCCTGGGGTGTCTGCTCTCAGATGGCTGCAGCTGAGATAGTTCCCCATGTTAGAGTCATGTATTCATGTAGCAGCCTACCTTTACTTTGTTTTCCCTGGGTTATCAGGGGGCTGGTGTCTGGCTAGGTTTTGGGCAGGGTTTTAGGAAAGCTCTCTTCTTTTTGTGTATCTCTCACAACTTTTCTGTATGAGTCAGGGCAAGTTATTTTGTATGTCTGCGTCCTAGATCAGTAAAATGGGGATAACGACCTCCCCTTTGTCCTGGGGAGAAAGAGGCATGGCTGTGACAGTCTTGATATAGGTGCTGAGGCTAAAACCAGCCAAGGAGCAGGGCAGCAGCTCTTCAAAAGGCACCAGAGTCCCCTCTGAACTGCCTGGTGCTGCCTCTGCATGGGATCCGCACACAGGGATGTGAGCATCACAGCCCCTAGGACAGAAAGCAGATGATCAACATTCCTCACAGCCACTACTGTGCTGCTAATTACTTTTAGTAAATGCATGCTGTGGAAATCGCAGTTAATTTATGCCCAAATTAAGCCACATAGTTTCTACTATTTCTCTCAGCCACTTGATGTATAAACAAAAAGTTTATCAATAGCAAATAAGCGAGATCAGCTTGCTTATGGAGTCACTCCCTAAGCTAAGCACGGTGTCTTTTCAGGTAAGTCCTTAGAAAAGGTTACAGTGTCTGAAGTTGGGACTTGGGTGGCTTTATTTCGGTGAGGAGCAGTAACCACCTTACCCTATGCTAGCAAATATCCTCTCTGCATGTACAGAAGCCCCGCGTGCAGTCTCTCCACTGATTTTTTAATGGACTCTTATGAGAAGGCCATATGCTTTCCCTGACAAGAAACAAATATTGGGATTATTCCTTTTTTCTTTTTCAAGTTCCTTCACTTGACTGTAAAAAGTAATTAATTCCATGGAAGAAAACTGAAAGTGATGCATTTTTTGTACCATTAGGGAAATGCTATGTTTCCCAAAACACCCTTGCTACTCTTTGTGAAGAGGTGTACCCAC